GAAACTACTTTGTCTACTGTAGCCAACTTCTACTTTATTCATTCATACTATTAGCTTTATTATCATTAAATTCAATATGTTTACTAATTTTGTTTGGCAATAACTTAATTGCCACTGTAGTAATACAAATCAAAAGAGTGAGATCATTACTGGTATTGTCTTTGGTCTGACGTTTGTGTTTTCATCTTCATATTTATGGGAAGTGTAAGTCAAGAGTTTAATAAGTGTTTTATCCAATGGTGAACAAGTGTCACATATTCAACTGTTCTTGAACTTAGCTTTAACAATATCAACTTGATAGTAAGTAAAAATATTCAAACTAACACTCGTAAATTTCTTCTTCTTTCTACAATAGTGCAATTTTAGTGCATATCCTACAAAATATCTTTTGTGGAAAATTCTTAACCAACAGTAGCACTGAAGATCAGTTCTGGAATAACTAATATTTTAGCCACTTAACACACAGTTCCTAAAATATACTCAAACATATAACTCAATCAACATCAAACCTACATACACTAAATCTTCTAACTTTTCTTAATTCAAGTGAAGGAACAGACCATCCAGTAGTATCAATGTCAATTTAATCACCTAACCAGCATTAAAAAAAACATCCTCATATTCAGCATAATTACTCTATTACAAAAATGAAAATAAAAAAAAATAAAAACAAGTAAAAGGAATGTTCTTAATATTGTTACTTTTTATAATCATGAAACAAATTTAAGCGATGTTTCTGCATATAAATGGATAATAATAATAATAATACAAAATACTGGTATTATGGAGGTATCATCCAACATTTTCTGAGGGAAGAATATGGCTAAGTAGGCTGCTGTCTATTGGTTGGGTCTAAATGACCTTCTAACACAATTATTCTCACAATTACTTTCAATTTCACATGTATTAATTTCAATAATTTTACAATGTATAAATAGTGAGCTGTCAATCAACAGGGTTGCCAATGTTTTGGAGTGTAAGTGTGACACTAAACATTTTAATCATTAGAAGCACGTGTAGCAGTTGATATTAAATTTATTCAAGCTACTTTATTACCAATATATATTTGCTCTCTAGGTATCCCCTCTCCTCTAATTTATTTACCACCCCTCCAAAAAGTACAGAATTTGATGTCAATTACTCATTATAATATTGTTATCACTCAGGCAAAGCATTATTTTTATAATTTTCTATCTTATTTGTTTATGGAGTCATAAACTAGAAACTAAGACCCACTTTCCACACCCATCTGTCACATCATCTTTTTCACAAATAGTCAGTAATTCTTTCTAACATTTTTGTACTATATCAATCATAAAAAATAGAAAGGTAAAGTTTTAATGCATCAAATGACCTATGCTACATTGTTTTCAGTACAGAATATTGTCAATTTCATCCTCAATTTGAAAGTTTATCTTATAATGTGTTCAGATCAAGCAGCAAAGGGAGATAATCTAAGCTCCTCTTATCATAATTAGAGAGCCAGTTGCATAATAACAGATATAGGACATTGTTTGCTTTGTGCATGTTATTATTCTATGTTCCTAGACATATTATTTGTGTAAATAAAAATCATTTAGTGTACTATTACTATAATTAGAAAAATAAAAGTAGGCTTAAATTTCATGGGCAATTGACAGCAGAAAAACAAGAGATCAAAGGTAAGTATTATATATATTGTTTTTCATGTATATTCTGTGTTTATGGTTATAAAAGTAATTAAAATGTTAAAATTAGTAACTTTTTAGGTTAGATAAGGTTAGGTTAAGTAAGATAATGAATAATAATAATAATAGCAAAAAGTCTTCACTACTTGTGAGTAGCTTATGTTATTCAATGCAGTAAAAGCTATGCATTTGCCAAGCAAATTACAACTTATATGGCAGAAATATTAACTAGAAACAGTTCAAAGGGCAATAAAACAATAAAATTATGTAGAAATAGGTGTAGACTGTTTCAAGCCTTAAGCTATTTAGGATAAACAACTGTGGTTTTCAATTACAAACTGCAGACATTCTAGTTTTTTAAACAAAAATTTGATTTTGTTTTCTTTTTATGGTGGTTACAAGGTCAGTCAAATCAACCAAGTCCATATGGAGTTAGGGTAGAGAAAAATATAAAGTTTTACTGAAAAAAAAAAGATAAATATTAATTCAGGAGGTTTTAGAGGTTACACAAACAAAATTTGAAAAGTTTATACTCAAAACAGTCAACATTACGACTTCACTTATTCACAGAGAAATCTTTAGTAAAAATACACAATTAAAAAATCTGATTTTCTTTTGTACAAAAGACTCATAATGTTTACTGAAAGCTTGCAATATTTCATGAAGATGCACAAAATATATTCAATGGAAACTCTGATGGTTACTTTGTGGTTACTAGATCAGCCACATTAACCAACATCATATGGAAAGTTAATAATTAAGCATTCGATAATTTTTAAAAGATAAAATTTGAAAGGTTAGCAATTATAAGAAAGTATAAGATAGCTAAACATTTGTTATCTATAGATCTAAGTGACATAAAAATCTTGTTATTAAAGAGTGAGTAGATTAACAATGAACACAGATCAGGACTTAATAAAACAACCAAACAAGTTAGCAGCCAATATCCCAATAATTGTCCAGCATACTTGTCAGGATAAAATTACAATCTATGAGTATACATGTACATCATTAGAAGTCATTAATCTTAACCATCTCTTGACATAACTGATCTTTTGCATATTTAGTTCTTAAACTTATTTTCTTATAACATAGAACAGTAACTAAAGAAGTAAAAAAAACAAATTATCTCTCCTAGTTACGACCTTTGTACTCAGTTGCTGCTTGACACAGCTTGCTAAGCCTTTAAAAACTTTGCACGTGGAGGATATGAAACAAAATATTTTTTTTTAGGTTTTATATATACATTTGAATAATAAAAAAATCATAAATTACTACATCAATAACACAGAATTCAACTATAACTTATCAAGCTTAGTAACCAAGATGTAATTTACCCCCAAAAAATATGAAATTTCATGCAAACTAAAGACACAACCTCATTGAAATCTTGGTTCAAAAGAAAGCAATGGTGCTAGCCACATTAGAAATGCTGAGAAAAACCACTATGGAGACATTCTGAGCTTACGTCATATGTCATTATGTCATATATAGAAGTAAGTGTATATAAGAGAGCATTTCCAAAAATGGAAAGAGTTGGGCAGGGTGATACTGTGTTTGATTTATTACATGAGCAATATCTTAGCAAATTGAAAAGATAAGACCTTCTTATTTTATATTCTAGCTTGTCAATATCGGTAAGTTGAGTTCCTAAGTAAGTCATACGAAACTATAGACTTAGTATTTTGACTTCACAAACATCTAATTTGAACCAGTGCTGCATTCAACATACCATGTGACACACAAGAATCAATGTTAAACTCTGTTTTTTAATATTTCTTTTAAATTGAGGAAGATAAAATACTAAAATTTGAATTATACTCTACAGTTTGATACCAAACGGGCCTTGACATGGCCTTTCACACGTGACCTGTCTGTAAGGTTTAATAACAGTTTCATATCAATACAGTACAAAAAACTTAAGTTCATATGACATATTTTGCTTCTCATAGACTATGTGCTACATATAATCATATGGTGTAATGCTGAAATTTCAAAAACCAATTGACTTTATTCATTATAATGTTTCAGCATTTCAAAATTTAAAAAATTATTATGACAATAATTGTTAATTTACTCTTAATATAATGATATAAATAATAATATATAATTATATTAAAACATGCTTTGCAACCAACTGAGCACCTACATCATGTGTCCTCCAATACTTCTCAAATATTGGTCACAATTCTCTGGTAAAACAAACATGAACCATATTTTTCAGAATATAAGATGCACCCTTATTTTGAAGACAAAGTTTTTGGGG